CTCCGCCCCCTCCTTATTGAAATCTGTAACAAGTTCAAGATTTTGCCCGGCCAGCTTACTCCAAATGCTCACCGGTTCTTGAATTGTTTCGTAAATATCTGTGAACATTTGAAAATCGACCCTTCCCTTCATCTTTTCCTCCACATGTACGAAGTCTTGCCCGGGACTAGTAATTGCCCGGGCTTTGTTTATTTTCATTCACGTAATAAGAGCAGTTTTGTGACCGGTCTTCCCCCTAGCCACAAAAGATGGAAGAAGAGATTTGTTTTTGTTGAATTCCCCCCTGACCAATTTCCTTTCTCTAACCCTGAGTGGGCTGACCGGGTTATAAAACCTGAAAGGGTTCATCCGGAGCCCACCAAAGATCTTGAGGACGCCTGCGAGAAACTTCTCAAGGGTGATCCTGTGACCGGGAAACCTTATGCCTATGGAGGCTGGGTATTCCGGCTATCTAATCCAGATGGGGGTGAATCTGCGACCCATGACGCAGAAGATGACCGGGCAAACTCCCCGGATGGTCATGCTGAGGCCAATTCTCCTCGTCCAGGTCGATCATCCTCTCTTAAGCTTCTTAATTTCATTTTCTTGTTTTTATGTACTCCTCGAAAAATAACCGGTCATCTTTTGCTTTGTTCTTTTTCAGACATGAACTTTAACAGGATGACCACCACCATCGAGGATGAGGACGATGATGTCCAAGTCCTCCACTCCCACCGGTCTCCTAATCGCAACTCTCCCTCCCCTCCTCAAAACCTTGGAGTTGAAGGGGCCTCAACTGCTCGGTGCTCTTCAGTTGATGATCTCATTCGAGATAAGCAGGTGAAGTCACCCTCAGCCCTCCATTTCTCCGAAGGCGACCGGGTTGAATCCAAGTCCAAGGAGACCAGCCATTCTTCTTCCCGTGCTAAGGGCCATAAAAGGAAAGGGTCCCAAAAGAGCTCCAAGGGAGACACGAAGAAGAAGGTCAGGTTATCAGATACGGAGGGGGAGTCCATCGAAGAAGCCTTCCTATCCCTGGCCAAAAAACTCAGCAAGGTACTTCATCTTTGGTTTTCCTCCCGGTTAGAATATTTCCTTTGCATTTATTGATGTATCTCTTTTTTGAATTTATAGGCCGGGGTCATTTCAGAAGAGATTAGCCAAAGTCTGCTGGAGCCAAAAGACCAGGTCTCCCAACTCACCATCCTCCTTGATTCTGCCAAGTTGGAGATCAATGACCGGGCAGAAAGGGAGAGGAGGCTTGAGGAAGAGTTGAAGGAAGAAAGGGCCCGGTTTGCCCTTCTGGAGGAGGAAAGGAAAAGAAAGATCGCCGAGCTCGAGGATGCGCTGGGCCAGGCTGAAGAATCTGCCCGAGCAAAGATGGAGGCCTTTCCCTCTGAAGCTGTTGATTGGGCTGTGTGCCATCACACGGAGGTTGCCCGGTCCCTTCTCACTACCCCGGAGGAAACCATGGACTTTTTCAAAGTCATGTATCAAGAGCCAGAGGGGAAAAGGATGATAACGGAGATAGGGTCTTATGGATTCCAGTGTGGCCAGAAACATGAGAGGTCTCTTCTCTATGCCAGACTTCTGAACAGGGACCCTTCCTTTGACCCGGCCAAGATGAAGCTTCCGGCTCTATACAATGAAGAGCCGGCTCCCCCCTTTCCCCTAGAATAGGTTAGGGCTTGACAATTTAAAAAAAAATTTGAATTTTCCCAAGGCCTGGGGGATGTCCGGCCTACTTCTGACTTGTTTAATATTGTCTTTTGTTTGGCATGGTTTTCAATTTACCGGCTTGTTTCTTCTTTCAGTTTGCATGGTTGTTTTCCTTGTTTGGTCCTTACTTGAAGTCGCATGGTCAGACTTGCCTTTTCTTGAACATGCTTGGTTTAACTTCCAAGTAGAAAACAATAACCGGCCTTATACCTCAGGAATCGTTTTAAAGAACGTCCAGGGCATCTCATGTCCTGGTCCTGAAAACGTCCAGGCCTCATTGGCTTGGTTGACGATTTTATTGAATATGCTTGATTCCAAGTCAAAAGAAGTAACCGGCTTTATCCTTTGTAGTTGTCCAGGTCACCTCATGTCCTGGTCTTTGGTTAACGCCTTAGAAACGTCTAGGTCTGGTAGGCTTTGTTGACAGCGTCCAGGTCAATTCCATCTCTTGAAAATGTCCAGGTCATGTTATGTC